ATGTACGTTTGCTGGGATTGTTTCGAAGAGCTATGGTAGATACAGGCTCTCAAATCAGCATCATCCCCCTGAGATTGCTAATAACGAGCATGAAAAAGGGATTTGATCTGAACGCGGACGTTGAAGAAATCCCGATTCAGCAGTTACCTCCCGCATACGATGCCTCCGGGAAACGGATAAAGTTCAAGGGAGCGGTGAAGCTCACCTTGCAAGTCGAGAGTGGCACCAAGCACAGAGTAGCCTTCTTCGTTAGAGAGGGAGGAGATGGCAGAGTTGTGCTCGGAACAAATGCGCTACCGCAACTTGGGCCATATATCGCTCATTTGAGAAACACTCATAGTGGCACAAGAAGGACAGTTGTCGAAAAATTCGTCCAAGTCGGTGTTCCAAGAAAACGGAAAAAGCGGAAACAACAGCTCGAGACTGCACCGCTAACCGAGATGTCTCCTAATCGTAAACGAGTACGGGAAGAGGTCGCGAACTGTAAAGTAGCCTCGAGTACAAAAAGCAGGAGCGGTCGCTTTCAGCACGGCGTTAACTTGGCAGGGGCCAAGCTCACCGTGGCGGGGGAGAACACGAGGATATGCAATCCTGTGCGGTCCCTAGAGCGACAGCTCAAGAGAGCCAAGAGAGACAGGTTGTCAAAAGCCGCCAGGAATCGACTAAATCGAAATTCACAATGCTCTAGCTTAAGAAGTGACGTGAAGACAACCGAGTCTGGTGCTGAATCACGTACTAAGAGCCACAAATATCGCATTAGACCCCTTAATTCTATTTTCAGGTATAGTCGTAGGTGGATGCAAGGACAGCCTCTTGATTTGGTAGATGATTGCCACGATGCGGGTAGCCAAGGTGGAAATCGGCCATCAATGGTGCAACAGCACTCCTTCTATGGAGGTGGGAGAAGACCTGTCGTCAGTTTCCTGGTCTCCAAGGGTCAAGACGCGAGAGTTGTCAATCCTCACTATGCACAAGTCAAGAGTCGGGACGACTCTTACCGACGGAGGGGCATGTCAAGGATGGACGCGGTGGCACCTATAGGCAATGATTATTGAATTTGATCTTGACCATGTACTTTGTACCGTGGCGGCTATAAATAAGGCCGCCCGGCCGTTGTTTTAGTCATTGTTATTGTCTGCTAATTCTAGTCTTGTAATAAATTCTTCTATTACTCTCTCTATCCCCACCTGGACATCCGCCCTCGCACTAACGAACCCGGTTAGTGCGTGACATATTAAGTTTCAGACAGACACCCAGGAATCATCTCTCATTTTCAATTCCATTTATCTACCTGAGAAGTTAATAAAAGTGGTACCAATAGTACTGAGGATATACTACTGCACTGCTAAACATATAATATTTATAGTAGAAATAAGTGAAATCTCAAGATATCGAAATCTTCAATGAACCACCGCTCGCGAGCTAGGGATTATCGAAACTTCACAATCTTCAGTCTCCGCTTCTCCTGTCGAAAACAAAAATGAGGGTGACCCCTGGGGATTTCCTGGGGATTCCAGGGAATCACACAAAATGGCAAAAAACCAATCTTTTATGGTAGCAACTTGGCCGCCTTACGCGTAGGAATAAGGGTATGAGAACCTTCATAAGCAAGATAGAGTAGAAACAAGAAAGATATCCAAAGTAGCAAGATATGACGCATCCTCTCTCAGATCCCCTCCACTACCCAGTGGGGATGTATATGCATACGGGCCTAAACTTTTCTTCCCTCAATGACTTTGCGGAAGAAATCTTCGTATTAGAGTTCCCTCAATTAATGCAAGGTTATAGCGTTGCACATTGATAGGGTAAGCATACCTCTGCACATTTCCGATTTTGTATTTAATTCTTATCAAATCTGAAATCCAGGCTTTCTGAGTCCAAGACCGTGCTCAAACCCTCTTGTTGCGTCGAAAGTTGCTTTGTCCACTTTTAGCCGAGAAGATCTCCAAAACAGTGGGGAAACGGGGAGGGGATCGTGTCAATGTGGCGATCCTTTGAAAAGCAAACTGTAAGACATTTTGCACTGAGCATGAAAGTCACAAAAGTGACAGGAAATTTCTAGGAACGAATCTGCCGTAGCAAGGGTTTTGAGGTTTAGTGGAACGAGAGCAACATTCAATCTGACAGATTTTCAGATCGAAGTAAACTCTAACACTTTCAATAGGCATTCGCAACTTTTATAAGCAAAAATCTTCTGCATTTTTTCTCACTTTCAGATTTTTGCGAGGATAATTCTTCTTGAGTCCAGCATTTCGTTAGAAAGACTTTTGCACATCTGCAGATTACACTTACTCCAGCCTTCTTGAAATTGCGCTCAGCCTCGGTGATTCGTCACTGAAGTTGGAGCCAGGAGACAAAATTGCCAAAAATAATTTATTTGAATGCTATTTTTACAATTAGAGATTTAGTAAGTTTCAGGCACAACAGCATATCCTCATATTCAATTTATTCAATGATTCCTTTTTCTCCTTAGTATATCTTGTCAATACATCCAGCTGTTTTTTGTTCAACTTCGGCAGCACGCTCTTCCCTTCTTTTGAGACCCTTCTTGCACGCAGGAAGAAATTATGCTTATCTTAGATCATTCTCCTTTTAACAAAAGTCGGGGCGATCACCTTCTGCATTTACACCACTTATATGTCGTCGAAAGGAAGTACTATGCGGACATCTGTGACAAAGTGCGCAGCTCCACAAACCACAGACATCACAGATTTGTACCATCTGTCCGCGAGAGGTGGAGCCTATCCGCGACATATAGTCTCCTACCCGAGGACATGGTCGCCAACAAGCTCAACCCACGCAGACACATACCAAGGAGCAGTAGTGGTGAAATCGTGCAGTTCGTGCAAATCGTGTTTCGTTCTTAGTTTGTCGTCAGATGAATAATCTAGTACACAAAGAAGATTGCACTGTTTGTGAATCTCTGCAGCCAAAAATGTAAGAATTTTTTTTATTTGAGCATGGTCAGTTTTTGGGCAATCCGGAACGCTTGTATGACCATCTAAGGTGATGCAAATGGCCGAAAATTTATAAATTTGTTGTATGGGTGCCAAATGCACATTGTACGCCCAAACTTGAGTTCCCAATCCGGAGTGTGATTTTTTGAAGATTTGATGAAAAAAATCTGGGTCGGTGGTTAACCCGACGAAACTCACAGTTACAACTCTGAATTATGTCTGACTCATCTGTGAGCTAAACTGCACCTTTTGACCCCTTTAATAAGTGCATGAAGACCAGATCTGGAAAGCGATGGTGTAGCAGGATACATCGTAAACGGTAGTTTCACCTTAGTAGGAAAGCATTGCCCAGATCATTCTGCACAAGAAACAGCGCCACTAAACGCGCAGCTGAGCTCCGTACAAATTAAAAAGTTGACGGAAACTTGGAACGGCAGGGTTACTCGATGCGCTGATCACAAGTATGGTGTGGTGGACATCTGGTGAGGTTACGACAGGTTTGAGGTAAGTGAGTTAACACCGTGGAATTAGTCCAAACTTGTACACTGAGATTTTTCGGGGCGCAGAACACGGACAGTCTACTGCTATGTACGTACACTAATGTCATTTGGAGCGAATACGGTAGGTATACGGTAAGCAGTGGCGCACCCAAGATTTCCGTTCTAGTGGGAGAGGCAACAAACACGATCAAAGAAATAAAAACCCTAGGTCACGTAAAAACAAAATAATGTAAATCTAATTTGCATCATTAACGTAGCACTTATTATGCGCAAAGGATAGGGTATGGAAACCTTCATAAGTCAGATAAAGAAAGAAGAGGAAGGATATTTAGAGTAGCGAGACATGGCGCATCCCCTCTCAGATCCCCTCCCTTCGCCACGAGATGTACGTGCATACAAGCCTAAAACAGGCTACAAGAAATATATATATAAAGCTAAATGTTTATCTATATGTGAGTTTGTCCCCTGTATGTATGTTCCGAAATTGAATTATTCTTTCTGAATTGATCCGTCCAAACTTGGTCCAGATACATTTCGGGGCGGAGCGGATGTCATAGTCTTTTTCGTTATCGATAGATATTGATTTTATCGATTCCAGGGTTTTTTGCCAAGTCTGAGCTGCGCAGCTGAGAGTTGACACGGGGGGGGGGATATAAGAGCATGATGATTATGAATGCACTGCGTATTAGTCAAAACTGTCTATCACTTTTGTCGATTTTCATCGATATTTTGCAAAGTTTGAGCTACGGGGCTGGGAGTTGGCAGAGAGGTAAACGAGCATGCTGGTTACGAAAACATAGTGGAGACAGTATACTGCCATATGGAGATGGGACCGGGACACGGAGCTGTTGTATAGGAATAGCGTATGGTGACTTCTGTCATAGTGTTTTGACAAGTCGGGGTAGAGCCGAGTATGCCAGCTAGTGTACTCTTTGATACAACTGGATTGGCGGCAGGAAGGCGGGCCTCGTGTCCTAGTTAGGCCCCGGGCAGACTTCACGCGATTTGATCGTCGCGACTGAATCACGACGAGACAACTGTTACAACATCATTCCATGTCGATCAACTTGCATTCGGTTGTGATACTTTTCCAGCCCGAAATTTTTGAATGTGAAATGAAAATGAATGGAAATCTTGGCGATTAGGTCGCGACGATTAAGTCGCGTGAAGTCTGTCCGGGGCCTTAAGGCTAGAGAATGATTAGGGAGAGCACCGCGAGAGAGAAGACCGCGTCACGGGCGAGCGGTCGCCTTCCAGTCGCCAATCTCATTTCAATGGGCAGTATAATCTTCACGCTTGTAACTGTTACCTACATATATCCATTTTTGAAAAGAGTGAGATCCCCAGCAAACTTTTACTATTTACGGTTTGCATGAATGGCCAATAGCGTTTCCATCACTTCTAGATTAAATGGTGCAGAATCACTGAAGGCACTTGCATATTTCATGGAATCGGATGTGAAAGCTAAGCTGAGATGAGAGCATCTTCCAGGCTTTGATTCTACTAACTTGAGCAGGGTATGCAACAGAGAGATTTTATTGTTCTAAAAGTAAAAGTTAAGTGGCGGTTGCGGTAATGGTTCGGGTGTGGCTTCGTTTTCAAATTTGAAATTTTTATGTCTTTTCATGCATTCTTCTATGCAGTCCGTCCAGAATTTACCTTTCCAAGTGCAAAGCTTCAAGCACTGTAAACATATCGATATACTCATTGGCACATATCATTATGTAGAAAATAAAACTCACAAATTCTGAAAGTCTATCATAGTTCTCTCTCTCAGTGATAGTTGTTTCTATACAGGGGAAGATCCTGCCTAACAAGTCCCAAAAGCAGCCGCTTCCTTTACCCACTGCTGCATGCACTTGTAATAGGAGCAAAATAAGGAGAAATTTATATGCCATTGCTTCCTGAAATACAGCACTTTATTTTAAGGCGACTCATTTTCTTTCTATGGAAACAGGATTGCTCTTTTCGCTGAGATCTGTTGATCTTTTGAAAACTTGAGAGTTGATTTTAATATTTCAACAACGAAGAATGTTTGCGCGCTTCAGAATGTTGGAAAAGTTGAGGTAGCTTTTGTTTGACTATTCTGTAGTACCTTCCGAACCCCTCGGCGTAGCAGGGAATCAACCGAAACAAAGCTTGTAATTTTAAGCAAATCTTTTTGAATCTATAGCAAATTGCAGGCGACTTAACACCGAAACCTTAACTATTTTGTCTTGATGTACATGGTTGCCGCCTCATATCAAATCGAGGATTGCTTTAGGGATTCAACTCGTTGGCATAAAGTGTAGTAGTGATGATGCAGATGAACAAAGTATAGAATGGTTTTTAGATTCGACTTTTTCGCATTCCATTATCTATACAATTGCAAGAATGCAGAAAGTAGAAAAGTTTCAAAGAAGCTGTTGTGTTAGCACCTAATGAGCACACGCGACCGAAAAAAGTGAGCAGCAAAAGAACTTAATTCGAACATTCAAAACATTTGCAATTTGTTGTAGTAAATTGCTCGGCACTCAATTAATTGTAAGCATCATTCCGAGTTCGCTCGCCAGCAGTTCAAGAGCGATTCTTCTAAAAGCCTTAGAAGACTCTTAGAAGAATCGTCGAAAAGACTGAAGGCAAACGCAAAAGGAAAACAACAATAGAAAGGAGTACGAAGAGCATTTCTAGAGCACTTTAAGTGCTCAATCTGACAAAACTTATCACTTACGGCTTAAATACCAATATTATTACAACGTACAGCTGCTATGCTTATACAGAAATTGTAGATATTTCGGTAATGAACTGATTGCCATTCCTCCCAGCTGACAGCCGTAGGTACAGTGTTTTACTAACATTGTTAAAAAGTTTAACATTTTTGTACCATTACAGCAAATAGACATTGTTGCAATGGGTAAAAGTCCTTTTGGACATGTTGCCGCAGCTGATCTTTTCGTACAGCTGTTGTGACATTAGAAATGGTTGAACTTCAACTAGAATCGCGCAATACAGCAAACTGAAGCATACAGATGTAAAAGGTCAAGCAATAAAGGACACTTGATTTGTTGAATAGTACTGTGCTGTGTCCTTTTCGTCAGAAGGATATCCTGGTATAACTTCATAGAGGTATCGTGCTGATGGAAGTGATTCGAACCGCTTTTGAAAAGGTTATCTCTTGCTTAGGGACAAAGTTTTCTTGGGTGCGATGCTCGAATTCCAGCAATTCTTGTGATTTTTGGGTTGGGTTCCTAGGTAGTACCTTTTTTCAAAATGATAGCAGCTGAACTGAACCAAACATGTTCTTCAAAATTGGCCCACATACGACAACATATAGAATGGTAAGATAGGAGAAGAAATCAACACATCACATGAAAGAATACCGTTATCTCATGTACTATTCCATCACTTAGCTTTGTAGGGCTGCCTTTAACATGAGGGTAACCATATAATAGTAACAGAAATTTCTTGCTGAGAAAGTTGCAGGCAAGATCTACACCCAACTTGACACTTCATCACTTGATTCGAATACCAACTGCAAGAGATGTGGTCTCAATTGCTTAAATCTTGAACAAGCAAGAAATCTTTTATTGCGTATACTCAAGGAGAAAATAATGAATTGGGAAAGAACCTCACACAATTTTACTTGTTATTCTGAAACAACAAATTAGCAAACATCCAACATCTTCTCCCGGAAAGATTCCACTTATAGCAATCAAATGCGCAGTTAGGGGTAAAATCTTATTTTTCAATCTGCAATCTTTTTTCGCATAGTTTTTTGAGGAAGTATTCACACCAGATGGTTTTTCAACCAAATTTTTTGCAGCCCTCTAACAAAAATGTTACTAGTCAGATTTAACCTGTAACCCAATGTGCATATTAACATCTTACATATAAAGCTGAATGTCTGTTTGTATGTCTGTCTGTCTGTCGGTATGTCTGTACGTATGTTCCGAATAGAAAATTCCATTTCTGAACCGATCCGGACCAAACTTGGCTCACATACACTTCGGGCCCCGGCGTGTGTCATAGTCTACTTTTCGTCATCGATCGATATCGATTTTACCGATTTTTTGCAAAATTTGAGCTACGGGGCTGGGAGTTGGTACAGGGTGTAATCGAGCATGCTGATTGCGAATAAAATAATGACAGGGCCGGGCCGAGCCGGGTAAGCCATCTAGTACATTATAAGAATCGGATGAGTTGGACCATACCGCATTGCTTGGACAAAGTGGACAAAAAGAAAAGAGATGTTGGAGAAAGATGGGGTTCCATAACTGTTTTTTTTTTCACATTGAAGTCTTTCACAGATTCCTTGGCATTAGTATTAAACAATTATAAAAGTTAAAGATGCCACGTTGTTGTAGAGAAATACAAGGGCAAGATAACCAAGAAAGATAATATTATGTTAAGTTGCATGAGACAGACATCGATCGCCAATTCTGCCAGACTTTAATTCTAGGAAACTAAGCGGATGTTTTAAAAGTAGGTCAAATTTTGAATCATATCAGATTAACGAACCTCTCAAATTCCCGTATACCAAGGCCAGTATAATACATCCCCGATGGGGAGGGGAGGGGATCCGAGGGTGGATGCATCATATCTCACCAGTCTGGATATCTTTCTTCCTTTTCTATCTTGCTTATGAAGGTTCTCATACCCTTATACCTGCGCATAGTGGGTGCCAGGTTATTGCCATAGAAGATTGGCTTTTTGTCATTTTGTGTGATCCCATGGAGATCACCCTCATTCTCAGAGTCTTTTATCTTCCTGAGAAAGTCAATAAAAGGGCTACAAAATTGTACTAGGACGGCACTGCCAAACATATTTATAGTAAAAATAAGTGAAATTTCAAGATATCAAAATCTTCGATGAAGCACTGCTCGCGGCTAAGGAATTTCGAAAATTCACAATCTTCAGATTCCGTTTCTCTTGTCGAAAACGAATATGAGGGTGATCCCCTGGGGATTTCCTGGGGATCTCAGTGGATCACACAAAATGACAAAAAACCAATAATTAATGGCAGTAATTCGGCACGCATTATGCGTAGATATAAGGGTTTGAGAACCTTCATAAGCAAGATAGAGTAGAAAGAAGAAAGATGTCCAGAGTAGCGAGATATTACGCATCATCAGATCCCCTCCCCTCCCCAGTGGGGTGTACATGCATACGGGTCCAAGATTTCCTTTCCTCAATGACTATGACTTTGCGGTGGAAATATTCGTATAAGAGTTCCCTCAATTAATGCAAGGTTGTAGCGTTGCACATTCACAGGGTTAATAAATCTGTCAATGCTGAAGCAATGGTTTTAGGAGTTTGCTGTCAAAAATGGCACAGACTAGCAGCGAAGTCTCAAGCTAAGGATGGAAGACAAGCATAGAAAAGTAATTAAAGGTTGAGGATCTGCTGCCTATTCGGTATCGGATTCACTTGATTTTCGCCTACAGATCAATTTAGACCATTATCAAATGCAATACAGGAGAGAAACATGGAAGCGTTCCCCTGCACGTCTACGATTTTGTATTTAATTATCATCATTTCTGAAGTCCAGACTTACAGAGTGCAAGACTGTGCTCAAATCTTCTTAATGCGTCAAAAGTTGCTTTGTCCCACTTTTAGCCGAGAAAACCTCCAAAACAGTGGGGAAAGGGGGAGGGGGTCTTGTCAATGTGGCTATCCTTTGAGGAGCAAGCTGTAAGACATTTTGCACTAAGCATGAAAGTTACAAAAATGACAGGAAATTAGGAACGAATCTGCCGTAGCAAGGCATTTGAGGTTCAGTGGAACGAAAGCAACATTTTTCAATCTGACAGAAACTTTTCTTTAAAAATACTGAAACTAAACGATTTTAATTTCAATAAGCATTCTTAAGTTTTATAAGCAAAAATCTTCTGCATTTTCTTCTCACTCTCAGATTTTTGCGGAAATATTTCTCTTTGAGTCCAGCTTTTTGTTAAAAAGACTTTCGCACATCTGCAGAAGTTACACTTACTCCAGCCTTCATGAAACTGCGCTCAGCCCCGGTGATTTGTCACTGAATGGAGGCAATGGACAAGCTGCCAAAAATGCTATTTTTACAATTAGAGATTTAGTAAGTTTCAGGCACAACAGTCATACCCTCATATTCAATTCATTCAAGGATTCCTTTTTCTTCTTTGTATATCCTGTCAATACGTCGAGCTGTTTTTTGTTCGACTTCGGCCGCATGCCTTTCCCTTTTCCTTCTTTTGAGACTCTTCTTGCACGCAGGAAGAAATTGTGCTAGTCTGTAGATCATTCTCCTTCTATCAACTAAAAGTTGGGGTGATCGCCTTCTTTATTTACACCACTTGTATGTCGCCGAAAGGAATTGGTATCATGTGGATATCTGCGACAAAGTGCGCAGCTTCACAAATTACACACATTACAGGTTTGTACCATCTGTCCGCGAGAGGTGGAGCTTATCCGCGACATATAGTCCCCTACCTGAGGACATTAGGTCGCCAGCAGGCTCAACCCACGCAGACACATACCAAGAAGCAGTGATGGTGAGAGCGTACAGTTTGTTGCAAATGTCCGCGTGGACCTCCCCCTTCGGCGACCTAACATGTGAGCATTCTCTTTCATAGCGGATTCAAGATTGAGTTTGGGTGAGGATTGGGTATACCAGAGTTTGTGCACCAGTTTGAGGTGTTCTTGTGGTTTTCCAATGTAGTTTTTGAAGTCTCGTGATGATCTAGTGTATACCATCTTTTGGCATCCTTGTTGCTCAGGAGTAGAACTAAATCTATTGAGTAAAATTTAGAAAGAAGAAGGAAGGAGCAACTTATTTGGGCGATGTTATCAATTTGGCTATTTGTTCTGGCATGCAACTTCGAAGCTCTATAACAATTCGAGTAGCAGTTACTAAGCAATTTTTATCGTGAGGATATGGTCCTAAGCC